CTCAGCATCCCAAGTAGCTACAAGGACTACAGTTGTGTGTCACCACACCCAGCTAATTTTTTATTTTTTAAACATTTTGTAGAGATGGGTCCTGCTGTGTTACCCAGGCTGGTCTCAAATGTCTTGCTTCAAGTGGATCCTCCTGCCTTGCCCCCCAACCATGTTAGGATTACAGGCATGAGTCACCACTCTTGGCCTGACTCCAATTTTGAAAGATGTTCTACTGTGGGCAAAATGCTATCAGACAGCATCTAATGCTACAGAGAAATCTTTAGTGAAAGGAAGTCGATCAATGCAGAAAACTTCATTGGTGTCTTATTTCAACAAATTGCCACAGCTACCCCAACCTATAGGCACCACCACCCTGATCAGTCAGCGGCCATCCACATCAAAACAGGACCCTCACCAGCAAAAAGACTAATACTCGCTGAAGGCTCGGATGATCAGTAGCATCTTTTAGCAATAAAATATTTTAAAATTAAGGTATATACATTATTTTTTAAACATATAATGCTACTGCACATTTAAAAGACTACAGTATAGTGGAATCATAACTTTTGCAGACACTGGGAAACAAAATCCACAATTGCTTTATTGCTTTAGTATAGTGGTGATTTGGAACCAAACCTGCAATATCTCCAAGATATGCCTGTACTTACTGGCTTTCACAATAATGTAAGAAAGACCAAATTAGGTCAAATTCAATATTCTGTTTCCAAATGGTGTGTAAGGTCATGGCATCCTCAGTGATGCCAAGTTCAAATTGTTCAGGACATGCTCTAAAACATCCCTGGTTTTTCTTCATAATTTAAAAGCTTTGATCTATATTTTATCAGCCTTCACTTTTACAGACTAAAGAGATCAAATTATTAAAGTCAGTAACTTTATTCAAAATTCTTAAGACAGACCTTTCTACAAGGTAGTATAAGTTTCTCTAGTCTTAAGCAGGTAATTTTAATTTTCATCATTTTAATAAATATTTCCTTATGTAGAAAACTTTCTCTACAGTAGCAATGACTAATGACACAATTGGCTTAGAACTGTAAATCATTAGAACCAAAGGGAACTCGGAAGTTAAATGCAACCTTTCCCTTTTACAAATGAGGAAACTGAGACTTAGTGTTGAGAAGCGGGTTTCCTACGGTAAAACAACCAAAAACCTGAGCTACATCCAACAAAACAGTGCTCTTCAAACTGCAGATCAGGACCAATCAATTAAGTAGGTTGCTGCTAGTGTTTTAAAAAAGCAACAGAGTAGAAAATATCAGAGGCATTTCATGTAGTAAGGATAATATTGTTTCAGAGAAGTTTTGTTTTAGTTTTAGTTATATGCATATATGAGATCATAATGTAAAACGCACTTATAGTGGTCGAAAGTTTGGAAGTCATTGCAGTAAGATATCTAATCTTTTGGGTGAATTTAACAATTTATTCTTAGTCTCATTCTGTCGCCCAGGCTGGAGTGCAATGGTGTGATCTTGGCTCAATGCAACCTCTGCCTCCCGGGTTCAAGCGATTCTCCTTACTCAGCCTCCCAAGTAGCTGGAGCTACAGGCGTGTTCCAGCTCTCCTGTCTAATTTTTGTATTTTTAGTAGAGATGGGGTTTTGTCATGTTGGCCAGGCTGATCTTGAACTCCTGACCTCAGGTAATCCACCAGTCTCGGCCTCCCAAAGTGCTAGAATTACGGGCTTGAGTCACCACGCCTGGCCATAAAAATTTATTATTATTTTAAAATTATGATTATTAAAATTACTATTATGATGCAATTTATTATTTATCATGACTCACTGTAAGCTAATAAAAATATCTCTGCATTAAATATTACATGCCACCATTTACAAGAAGCAATTTTTTCCTCCCTAAAGGAAGACTGGCTCAGGATATTGTATCCCATACCACATGTGAACAGACTTTCTTTAAAATATCACATTTCTGTAGAGCTTAAATGTGCAATAGCCAGACAAGCTTTTAAAAGTATCAAATTCTAGAATTCTGATCCTTAGCACAGGTAAAAAGATGTCTCTGAAAAAACAGTGACCTCTAGTGGATTAATTAAATAGCATGGACATGATCCCTGCCCCTAAGAATTTGGAAATTAAGGTAACACAAATGCACCCACATATAAAAGATACTGATACGGTTATACACTGACAAGTGTTATATATAATTAAGAGCTATAGTTATGCTATACAATGAGGCAGATGCATATATATAGATTATTCACTGTTTCCTTCTAATCAAGTGGAATACAACAAATAGAATCCTGGTCTCATACAGATCACTAGTTTAAGAAATACACTTAATGAACGGGTTGGATTAAATCTAAGAACCCTTTTAGCTCTTTAATTATGATTCTTTCTTCTTTAATTCATTTTGTACACCAATATCAGATTAAATTCTGCTCAAAAACATTTGATGGCTCCCCAGTACTTGAGGGTTTACCACACTCAGTCTGGCCCTTTGTTATCTATCTATGGTTATCTTCTCGTTTCCCAAATTTCAAGTCAGCCAATGTTCAATATCCCAACCCATTCCCGCAAGTTTATTTTCTCACTTTTGCTCAGTTTCTCATTATGCAATGTCCTAACCTTGCTCATTTATAGGCCAGGTCCCCATTAAAGTCAACACAAATGTGTTTAATTCATGTTCTGCCATCCAGTGATTGTTAAATTCACAGGCTGGGTTTTATACTTGTATATGTGTATGTGTATGTGTGTAGCCTGCCAGGTACTAAGCACTTACGGCACATTTGAATGTAAATTAAGTTGATTCATTTAGATTAGGGAAACAAAGGCTTTTTTTGTTCGTTTTTGTTTTTTGAGACAGTCTTGCTCTGTCACCAGGCTGGAGTGCAGTGGCAGGATCTCAGCTCACTGCAACCTCTGCCTCCCAGGTTCAAGCAATTCTCCTACCTCAACCTCCTGAGTAGCTGGGACTACAGGCACGTGTCACCAAGCCCAGCTAATTTTTGTATTTTTAGTAGAGACGGGTTTCACCATGTTGGCCAGGATGGTTTCGATCTCTTGACCTCGTGATCTGCCCGCCTCAGCCTCCCAAAGTGCTGGGATTACAGGCATGAGCCACCATGCCCGGCACAAAGGACATTTTCATCTTTCTTTTTTAGTGAGGTAGTGAAGGGTATATAGCTAAGGTAGAATTTCAAGAACTGCAAATATAAAGTGAAAGGGCTTTAAGTTTTGGGGAAAAGTGAGCATTCTGAATATAGGACGGTAAGATTTTAGGAAAAGGTTAGAGGAAGACCTGTTTTACTTCATTTTATTTATTTATTTAATTTTTGAGAGTCTCACTCTGTGGCCCAGGCTAGAGTTCAGCAATATGATCTTGGCTCACTGCAACCTCCACCTCCCAGGTTCAAGTGATTCTCCTGCCTCAGCCTCCCGAGTAGCTGGGATTACAAATGCCCGCCACCACACCCAATTAAATTTTGTATTTTTAGTAGAGACAGGGTATCACCATATTGGCCAGGCTGGTCTCAAACTCCTAAGCTCAAGTGATCCGCCCACCTTGGCCTCCCAAAGTGTTGAGATTACAGGCATGAACCACTACACCAGGCTGGAAGACTTGTTTTAAATTAGCTAAAGGAAGTACCAATACCTATGCTTGAAGAAAACAGAGATGGCAGGAAAGGTAGTTTGGTAAATGGTTTTGAAACAGTTGAGGTAGATAATGAGGATGGCACAAAGGGTTAAATTTAAGATGTAGAGAAAATCTCTTTGGAAGCACAGTTAAGGATAACTTGAGGAAACACTGGTTTCAGTGGGGAATAAAATATGTTGCTTTCAGAGGACTGGGGAAGTAATGGGCAGCTCTAGTGACAGAAATACTAAGAAAGGAGAAAAAGAATAAGTAAAAAATACTCTTAGCTTCCCAGTTATGTTGAACAATGCCAATCTTTTATTTTCCCAACAAGAAGGCTGACAGGCTGGTGGTGAAATGATGAACAATTTAGTCTTCATTACGTTTAACCCAATTATCAAGGGCCACACAGTGTCACATTTTCCATATCCTAAACCACACAGGATTGGATTGGCAGGCAGCGGTGTCTGCCATCACACGTTCTGTCATCAGCATAAATGATGTTATTTGAATTGAGAGTGGTGTTATATCGCCTTACGCATCAGAAAAGACTTCAAGATTTTTGGCTTTTTTTTTTTTTTTGAGTCAGAGCTTTTTAGTTAACCTGCATCTCATTATGTTTAGGCCATTAGTTTATTTAGCATAGTTCCTATTTTACAATAAGTAACACTGCCTAGTGTTGTTATGATACACTCTTTCAAACATGAATTTATTTTGGGCATTATCTCATTAAGCCTTTGATTGGAATTTCTAGGCAATGCAGTTTAATTACCGTAACAATAACTTGTTACCTTTATATTATCATGCCATTTCACCCTCAATAATAAAATTTTCTTGACTTTAGCACCTAGTAAAACATTGCAAGTATTTAAATCATTTCCCAAGAGGCTAAACTCCAGCATTGCCCATAAACGTTTTGTACAAAAAAAGAAAAAAAAAATTACTTTTTAATTGTCTGTCTTTAAATTGATAAAATAGTGTATTGATTTTTATAAAGAGTAAATGAACCTGAACTTTTTAACCTTCCTCACAGCAGAGTTCACTTGGATCCTAAGACCCAGTAACTTCTGAAAAAATTTAACATTCTTCCTCCAGGATTATCATATTAACAGGATTCACAGACATAACTAGCATCACAGAGCACCAGAGTTAAAGTTCTGATTTAGCAATTAAAGCTAAAACAACAAACAAATAACATTTGTATGTATGCATTTTCTGATTTTAAGTGTAAAATCCTTAATAGGTATGCTTAAAATATAACCATTTCCCCATAATTAAAGTGTATAAAATGGTCACTTTTTACAGAAAACTAGACCTACTCTCAGCTAATCTCAAAAAGCAGAAACAAATTATTAGAATAGAATATATGAACAAATGTATATACACAATGACTTAAATTACCTCTCTTCTTCTCGAACCCATACTGGAGTTTTGGGAATTTGTGCTTCAAAAAACTTAGATGCTTGATAACAAAAATTGCTGCAAAAAGACTGAAAAGAACATTATAAATCCAGTTTTTTTCTTATCGTGAAACATTACCTACATACAGTTGAGAGTATAAAACATAAATGTATAGTTCAAAGAATAAAATGGAAACCTATAGATCTACCACCCAAAGTAAGACATAACATACTGAACCTTTGAAGGCCTCTATGTGCCTTCCCAACTGCATTGCCCTCCACGTTCCCCAGAAGTAAGCACTATCATAAATTTGATGTTAATCATTTCCTCATTTCCCTTCAGTTTTAGCACCTGTGTACATATCCCTATTAAAAAATATTCAGTTTTTCCTATTTTTAAACATTTTTTTGAATGGAATAATACTGTTATACATTCTTATCTTACTTCATTCACTTATTAAATTTTTTTTTTTTTTAGGGATAGGGTCTGATTCACTGTAGCCTCAAACTCGTGGGCTCAAACAATCCTCCAGTCTCAGCCTCTTGAGTAGCTTGGACTACAGGCGTGCCACCACACTCGGCTATTTTATTTTTTTGTGGAGATGAGGTCTCGATTTGTTACCCAGGCTGGTCTCAATCTTCTCTCCCTGGCCTCCCAAAGTGCTAGAATTATAGGTGTGAGCCACCGTACCTTGCTACTTCTTTTGTTTAAAATTATGTTTTTAAGATTCATTCAAGTAGTCGTAGCTTATAAATTTTCACTGTGTACTACATTCCATTGTGTTAGTGTATTACACTTTACCATTTATAGACAATTTAGTTGTTTTTAATTTTTTGCTATCACTACAATGTTACTATAAACCTTTTTTGCAATTAAAAAATGTTTAAAATTGTGGTAAAATATACATCATATAAAATTTATCATCATAACCATTTTTAAGTGTACAGCACAGTGGCATTAAGTGCCTTCACACTGTTGTGTAACTGTTACCACCATTCATCTTTAGAACTCTTTTCATCTTACAAAACTGAAACCCTATACACTAACTTCCCATTCCCACCTCTCTTAATGATCATTCTACTTTCTGTCTCTAGTAATTTGACTTCTCTAGGTACCTCATGTAAGTGAAAGCATATAGTATTTGTCCTTTTGTGCTGGCTTATTTCACTTAGCATATTATTTTCAACGTTCATCCACCTTGTAGCATGTGTCAGAATTTCTTTCCTTTTTTTAAGGCTAATATTCCATTGTGTGTATATACCACATTGTTTATCCAGCTATAAACATTTATATATACATGCTGGTACACATGTGTAATAATTTTATTAGGGTTTATACCAAGGAATAGAAAGGCTTAATTACAGAGAATGTGCAAAGACTTCACCAGACAAGTGCCAAACCATTTCTCAAAAAGGTTGCACCAATTTTGATTCCCACTAGTTGCAAAAAGATTTCCTAATATTGGCCATTTTGTGGGCTGTGAAAACATAACTCAATGTGCTTTTATTTGCTATTTCTCTGATTACTGATAATATTGAGCATCTTTTCATATGTTTATTAGTCATTCAAGTTCCTTGTGTAAATTTTTCTATTAGTTTGTGTGTCTTTTTCTTATAGATCATATATTCTAGATATGATTCTATGGTCAGTTACATGAAATAATAACATTCTGCTTTGTGGCTTCTCTTTTCATTCTTTTTTTTGAAACTTCTGATGAACAAAAATTTAACATTTTAATATAGAAATGTTTATCAGTTTCTCCTCTTTGGCCTAAAATTTTCCATCTTATTTTATAAAGTCTCTCTACCCCAAGTTTATATCTTCCCATATTTTTTTTTTTCTTTCTTTTTTTTTTTTTTGAGATGGAGTCTTGCTCTGTCGCCCAGGCCGGAGTGCAGTGGTGCGATCTCGGCTCACTGCAAGCTCTGCCTCCCAGGTTCATGCCATTCTCCTGCCTCAGCCTCCTGAGTAGCTGGGACTACAGGAGCCCGCCACCACGCCTGGCTAATTTTTTGTATTTTTTAGTACAGATGGGGTTTCACCATATTACCCAGGATGGTCTCGATCTCCTGACCTCATGATCCGCCCACCTCAGCCTCCCAAAGTGCTGGGATTACAGGCTTGAGCCATGGCACCAGCCTATTGTCTTTTTTTTTTTTTTGAAGACAGTGCCTCGCTCTGTTGCCCAGGCTGGAGTGCAGTGGCATGATCTTGGCTCACTGTAACCTCTGCCTCCCAGGTTCAAGCGATTCATGTGTCTCAGCTTCCTAAGTAGCTGGGACTACAGGTGTGTACCACCACATTTGGCTGATTTTTGTACTTTACTTTGTAGAGACAGGGTTTCACCATTGCCCAGGCTGGCCTCCAACTCCTTGAGCTCAGGTAATCTGCCCACTTTGGCCTCCCAAAGTGCTAGGATTACAGGTGTGAGCCACCATGCCTGGCCTCTCCCATAGTGTCTTCAAAAAGAATCTACTTTTTATATTTATGTCTTTAATCTACCTAAAATTGATCTGTGTATACAGACTGAGATAGGCATCAATTTTAATTTTTTTCTATTTGCATAACTAATTGTGCCAGTATAATTTATTGAAAAATCCATCCTTTCTCTACTGATCTACAATACTCCTGCTGTCATATATCAAGTGTCTACATATGTGTTTAGTCTGTTACTGACTCTCTATTCTGTTCCATGATTTATTTGCCTAGATTTGTGCCACTATGCACTTTTAACTTTTAAATGTTAAAGTCTTAATTGAAGCTTAAGCAAAACAATTTTTAATACCTTGACTGAAGTATTTACAAATAAAACCAAATTTTAACACCACTATTTTCTAACCAGTAAGATTTTAAACAGTTTCTTTTAGAATCCTATTTAATATCATCAAAAATTAATTGCCATTCCTTGTTAGGATAGTGGTTAGTAAAGAAAAAAAATTAATTGCCACGATGAAAGCCTTTAAACTCACCTTTCTTTCAGTAATATCATAGACTTTATTGGTCTTGGTAGAAATTTTATATTTCTGTTTTGGTACCTAAAGAAAAGAAAGTACAGCTTACAAAAGAATCCAAATAATAAACATGAAACTTATGTTACAAGATTAAGTAATCTACATATCATATCATTGGCCAATCCATGCCTTTAGTTCATGACCTTAGGTTTCATTTCTTATTCTTACAACAAAGTATTTTGCTAAATGAAAATAATAAAAGCCTATACTTAAGAAAAAAAATTAGTTACTTACAATTCCCAGCTTCTTCTGACATAAAGGATAACCACAGAGTTTGACAATAGAACGTTCATCCACGACATCGCTGTAGTGAGCAGGTGTAATGAACTTCCCCTAAAATGAAATGAGAGGGTTATTTCCTCCTAGTTTAATAGAAAAGTTCATTTATCAGCTCTGTAAGCCTCATCGATCTTATCTGAAAACACAGGGATAGCAATAGTACCTCCCTCATAAGTTAGATAAGTTAGAGGTTAGAATTAGAGGAGAAAATAAAGCAAAATCACTTAGAGAAGTGCTCAACATATAGTAAGCATTCGAAAAAAAGTTGTTATTAAAAAAAAGTCTGCCACAGTAGTCTCTGCATCTTTGTAGATTACATAGTTAAGTGAAATAATTCTGAGGCATGAGGAAGAAGTGATGCTATAGCTATACACAAGCTAAATGACAACAGTATCTTTTATTTTTAAAAAAACATTTAAAAAATTAACTAAATCACAAAGTAATAAAATATAATTTTACCTATTTTTTAAAGCATAATCTTTAACAACAATGTATTTCAAAAGTGTCATTGTGACTCCTGAACAGTCTGTGCAAAATTTTCCCACTTCTGAAAAATCTGTACAGAGTGGTGAGGTGATGGTTATAAGCTAACATCAAATAGTTTCCTTTGACATCTTCATGTTCAAATAATCTTGATTCTTGTTAACTTTGAGATCTTTTAACAAATTTTTCTGTTTTCACAGGGACTGAAATACTTTTTATTGAGAGTGATATAAGTTTTATGTTTCAAACGAAGCATATTTGCTTTTGTCTTTTCTGGTGTCATCATATATGCAGATACTGATGCAGTTACCTGTGTCAATAAAAATATGAATTGTCATGTTCATATTCCTGTTTAGAAAAAGATCTATGAACTATACTAAGAAGTGTTTTTGTAATAGAAGCTTTGAGTTTTCATTTGCCCTCTTAAGCATTACGAGAATATAAAAGAAATTTCCATTCAAAATTTTAATGTAGTGAAGCTGTTTAAAAATTTTTTTATTCTCAAATTTTTATTTAGATAGGGTCTCACTGTGTTGTCCAGACTGGTCTCAAACTCCTGGGCTCAAGCAATCCTACTGCCTTGGCTTCCCAAAATGCTGGGATTACGGGCATGAGCCATCCTGCTTGGCCTAAAAAAATTTAATGTGGGCCGGGTGTGGTGGCTCACGCCTGTAAGCCCAGCACTCTGGGAGGCCGAGGCGGATGGATCACGAGATCAGGAGATCGAGACCATCCTGGCTAACACGGTGAAACCCCATCTCTACCAAAAATACAAAAAAATTAGCCGGGCCTGATGGCGGGTTCCTGTAGGTCCAGCTACTCGGGAGGCTGAGGTAGGAGAACGGCATGAACCTGGGAGGCAGAGCTTGCAGAGCCGAGATTGCACCACTGCACTCCAGACTGGGCAACAGATTCCATCTCAAAAAAAAAAAAAATTTAATGTGGAATTTAATTCTCCTGTTTTATGTTAAGTCATAAATGATCTGTATTTCAGGTTTTTGAAATATGAAAATTGATGAAATTACATTGACAAAAATAATATTCTTCTGTTACTTAAAATAATACAACACAGAATATAGAAAACTGGAATTGCAATCATAGAACAAACTGAAGAAAATCAAGTGATATTAGCAGACTGGTTAAAAGAACTATGACTAAGGGCAAAATATACTTGCTTTTTCTTTTTTTTTTCCTCCCCCATCCTCATTTTTCTTTTTTTCCATTTATTATTTATTTATTTGTTTTGAGACAGATTCTAGCTCTTGTTGCCCAGCCTGGAGTGCAGTGGCGTGATCTCAGCTCACTGCAACCTCTGCCTCCTGAGTTCAAGTGATTCTCATGCCTCAGCCTCCCGAGCAGCTGGGATTACAGGCATGAGCCACACCTGCCTAATTTTGTATTTAGTAGAAACGGGGTTTCATCATGTTGGCTAGGCTGGTCCCAAACTCCTGACCTCAAGTGATCCAACCACCTTGGCCTCCCAAAGTGCTGGGATTATAGGCATGAACCATTGTGCCTGGCCTCTTTTTGCTTTTTAATTGACAATAATAATTGTATATATTTGTGGGGTAGTATGTGATGTTTTAACACATGTATATATTGACCAAATCAGGCTAATTAACATATCTATCACCTCACATATTTATCCTTTATGGTGAGAATATCTGAAATCCACTCTTATTAATTTTGAAATATACATTACCTGTCATCACCTTGTTATGTACTTGTTATTTTTCATTAGTGCATTTTAAAGTCATTATACAAGGAATGCATGATAGTTGTTTATTTTAAAATGCATGAATTATATAGATTGTTATCTGCATCTAATGACTGAGAACAAATTCAAATATTTTAATAATGCAAAGAAGTTTCATGTTGCACAGATTTAAAGATGTTATACTACAAAACTAATAATTTGTCAACTTAACACATACACACTCCATTAGGAACTCTTCTGTAATATTCTCTTCTAAAAGCTGTTCAACAATATGTAGAGCTTTTCTTTCAAATTCAATCTTCTTTCTCACAGCTGCTTCTAGTTCTGCTTTCCTAAAATTTGAAAGAGAAAGTTAATCTACTTATAAGCTTCATGTCCGATATTCCATTTTTTAAAATACAACACTAACCTAACTCACTATTTTGCCACTTAAATTTAAACATATTTAAAAATTTTTTTTTGAATAAAAATATTTATTTCTTTTTAGTTGTAGAGACAAGGTCTCACTATGTTGCTTAGACGGGTCTCAAGCTCCTGGCCTCAAGTAATACTCCCACCTCAGCCTCCCAAAGTGCTGGGATGACCGGCATAAGCCACCATATCCGGCCAAATTTCTATTTGCTAATGCTGTTACTTTTGATCCAATACTTTTCAAAAAGGAAACAAGCTACTTTTTGCACTGCACATACAGAAATCTTTATATACTCTTTGTCTGGTTAATGTCTACTTAGTATGCAGGTCTCAGCATAAGGCTTTCCCTGAAAACTCACAACTAACCTCCCTGCCACCCACTTCCAACTAAATTAGACTTGATTATTCCTTCTCGTAACATCACAGCCTTTTCCTTCATAGTGCTTATCACAATTTGTAATTATGTGTTTATGTTAATTAACTAATTATTATTTATTCCTCTGTTCCACTAGACAAGAATTGTGTCTATTCCGTTCACCATATCTTCAGAGCCTAACACAGGTCTGGCATATCTTATACTCAGTAAATAATTTTTGAAAGAATGAGTAAATTAAGACCAAAGTCAATATAAGATTAATAAGTCTTCACAAAATGAAAATCATAGCTACATATACTTTTAATACCCTTCACATTCTATTCCTCTTCTAAAACTTTGTGTGATATGTGGTAATATCTTGCCTTTTGAGGACCAGAACTAGTACAAGACAGCTTTTTTTCTTTTTTTGAGACAGAGTCTCACTCTGTTGCCCAGGCTGGAGTGCAGTGGCGCGATCTCAACTCACCGCAAGCTCCACCTCCCAGGTTCACGCCATTCTCCTGCCTCAGCCTACCGAGTAGCTGGGACCACAGGCGCCCGCCACCACGCCCGGCTAATTTTTTGTATTTTTAGTAGAGATGGGGTTTCATCGTGTTAGCCAGGATGGTCTCGATCTCCTGACCTCGTAATCCACCCGCCTCGGCCTCCCAAAGTGCTGGGATGTGAGCCCCGTGCCCGGCCAGGACAGCTTTTTGATGAAAATCTGGACTTGATGTAACAAAGAACAGAAAAGGTTTCTTGGAGTGACAGAGAAATTTGGAGAGTGAGTCTCTGGCATATAAAGCAATAAAAGGGGAGTGTACCTGAAGTGGTGAAAAACAAACACCTTCTACAGACACTCACGCCTTCACTAGCAGTCTGCTTAGTTTGGTTTTCTTAAAGCCTGGAGTAGAGGAATGTTAACAGTCTATGTGAGAATTTATAGGCCTTCCCAGATCTTTCCCTTCCCTCTCATTATAATTTTCTCTAAAAAAAAAAAAAAGGTAACTATTAGTTTTAAATTGGTACAAGTAATATGAGATAAGTAGATATGCCATTGTAGTTGTCCATGTAGCTGTCATACCTTTTAGAAGCATCTTCTTGTTTCAAAGTAGTTGTCTGTTTAGTACCTACAACAAAAATACAGTCATGTGCCACAAAATGACATTTCATAAACGACGGACAGCATACAGACAGCGGTCTCATAAGACTAAAATACTGTATTTTTACCGTACCTTTTCTATGTTTAGATATACAATTGCCTACAGTACTTAGTACAGTAACATGCTGTGCAGGTTTGCAGCCTGGGAGCAATAGGCTGTACCATATAGCCTAGTGTGTAAGTAGGCTATACCATCTAAGTTTGTGTAAGTGCACTCTACGATGGTCACACAAGGATGAAATCGCTTAACAACGCATTTCTCAAAATGCATCCCCGCAGTTAAGCTACACATGGTGACAGTAGGTCAGGCCTACACAAACACATTAGGTACAAGATAGATTCCTACACAAATAACAAACTAGACCAATTTTTCTTCTTTTCCACATATTTTATGTCCAATCGTGTGTAAATCAAAATGAAATAGGAAGGGAAAGCAATTTGTTTTTGCAAATTGATTACTGTCTAATTTTTCTTGGTTAAAATGTATCTCTTTGGGGACTGAATTTTCTTCTGTATCATAGTTGCTTAATTAATCATTCCTGAAAATCTGAGATCTGGGTACTTTTTAGGGAAACCTCTCTCTCCGTCTGCCAAACGTCCTCTCTGGGAGAAGAGGGGAGTCCGGCACCTCAAAGAACCGGGCACCCAAGCAATCTGGAAAGGAGGACCGGTCCTAGGTTCAAGACCAGCTGCCAACGCTGCCCTAGTCACTTGCCCCGAACCCCGGGGACCCTAGGCCTGGGTTCCCGGCGCCTCCACTGTACTTTCTCTCAGAGGCTGGGGCCATGGCCCGCGTGAGGGAAATCTTGCAACACTGGCGTAAAGGGGTGAGGGCCGGCCAGGAGATCTTTCCCAGGGGGAGCGGACGGCGGTGGGAAGCTTTCGGCCTTCTCTACCTGGGAGAACCCCTCCCCTGAAGCAGCCTTTCAGGAGCGCCCGTGCGCTTCGGTTTAGAACTCGAGATCGGGGTCCAGCTTTCAGGGTCCCAAAGTGAGAAGACATCCTTGCTCCTACCTGCGGCTTTTCGAGAGCGGCGAGGAGCCCCGGCCTTGCGGCCGGCAGAACCCGGCCCAGCACAGTCCGCCATCGGGGAGAGTAGTCTGCGGGACCGGGACTAGCTCCGGCGTCTCGCCCCGAGGCCCCGCCTTCCTACGCGTAGCGCGAGGCGGACCCCGCTGGCGTGGGGCGGGGCCAGAAGAGCGGGCTAAGTGGCTGGAGGAGGTGGCGGCGGCTGGGAGAGGCGAGAAATCTGGCCGGTAAGTGGAGTCGTGGAGAGGTTCGGGGTGGCCAAGGCTCGCGGTTGGCCGTGAGCCGCGGCGGCCTTGGTGCCGCGGGCCGACTAGGCCACGTGAGGTGGTGGAGCCTGCACACCTAGGCGAGCAGGAATCGGAAGACATGGCTTCCTCTGATGCTGCCCGCACGCGCGCTGGGGTGTTATTCGCCTTATAGCGCGCTGCGCTGAGAACCGGGCTGACCCGCGCCCCTACTGAGGGTTTGGGGCTGAGCCTTGCCTCCGGGAGAAGCGATGGTCTCCTCCTGAAGGCCGCCGTTGCCTTGTCTCCGTGTGATACAGTGATTTCACTAGCTGGATTGATCATTTTGGGTACTGCAACTCCTAGAGAGAAATGGGATGGAGGGCATCTGAATCTTCACCCCCTATAGATAAACTTGTGTTGCACCCCAATTTTTGTGAGGTGAGACATTAAAAAATCCCCTAATGATTAGAATTTTGATTTCAGGTCCACCTTTTGGAATTTTGTTTTCATAAAAGAAGTACTTTGCTTTTTAAAAGCCCTTTAGTTCGTATTTGTCTCGCCTCTTGGGAGTACTCGAGAGTTTTTTTTTTTCCTTCAAAATAGCTTTCAAAACTATGCTCCTAGAAAACTTAAAAGATGCAATAAGGGCTTCTAAAAAAACACTTTATTTTCTTAGACAAACATACTAAGATTCAGTAGTAACATTTCAACCTTAGAACTTTACATTTTCTCCTAGCATGCTATTGGACCAAAAAACAACAACAAAAATTTTCCATTTTCTTTATTGTATTTACTAATAATTTATCACACTGAAACATAACTTTTGAATACTTAAATGTAATATCACGGATATTTAACAGTGTGTTTTGTATTTGTAGGTTTTAGCGTCGAAACTGGGAGAAATAGGAATGGCTGTAGAGGAACTTCAGTCTATAATAAAGAGATGTGTAAGTATTTTTTTAATTTTTGTAAAATTAAATACCTTTCAAAATATGGGAAGGGCACAGATGGTTTTTAATTATATTTGTGGTCACTCAAATTGTTTATCTTCTTTAATCCTTGCTTTTTTTGACCTGTAAAGAACGTGAGTGGGGGAGGCAGATTGGATTATTTCTCCAGGTGACATACTTATCTAAATAACCTTTTACATTTTAATCCTGATCCTTTTCATAGGTTTCACTGGTACAGTAGATTTCAAGGTCATTTATTAAAGTATTTATTAGGGTAATCCTAATTTTGATACATGTGTTATTTACGTTACATTTACCTAGAATTTAAACAGATTTCCTTTTTTCATAGATAAGAAGTTACTGTATTTAATTTTTATTTGCATACACATTTGTTCTTTTGTTTTTTGGGGGCTTTTTTGCCAGCAAATCCTAGAAGAGCAAGACTTTAAAGAAGAGGATTTTGGCCTATTTCAGTTAGCTGGGCAAAGATGCATAGAAGAAGGGCACATAGACCAGCTATTAGAAATTATTCAAAATGAAAAGAATAAGGTACGTACAATCTTGGTATTTACTTTTCAATCTTGGGAAGAGAATAATCACATGATGCTATTCATCCAGTCATTTATCCATCAAACATTTAAGAATCTACTTAAAATTTCACAGTAGGGAACTGAAGACAAAAAAAGAATTAAAAATATTCAGGTCGGGCGCAGTGGCTCACACTTGTAGTACCAGCACTGTGGGAGGCCAAGGCAGGCAGATCACTTGAGCCCAGGAGTTTGAGACTAGCCTGGGCAACAGAGTAAGGCCCTGTCTCAGAAAAAAAAGAAAAGAAACAGTCATATACTTGAAGGTACTTACAATCTGGTCAAACAGATAAACATGTAAACAACTAACAATAATGAGGCAAAATAAATAAAATAAGTGCTATAGTTGAAGTAAAGAGTTTTTAGAAGGAACAGAATTACTTCTGGTTTAGGGAGTCCAAAAATGGTGTTCGGGTTATTTACATTGAAAAATATACATATCAAGCAGGCTAAATATTCATTTTGGGTGATCAGCCCATTCTCCAGCCAAATGTGTATGGAAAACCAAATTTTAATTAAAACAGTATTTTATGTGCTTAGAATCAGAACAGGAGGAAAGCTATATGTCATTATGCTAGCCAGTATCATCCAGTTACAATAGTTTGAGAAGTCATCCTCTACAATAGAAAAGGATCTTATTTGTGAATCAGGAATAACTTTTTCCTGGGACACTGTCTTGGCACACCCTGCCAAATTTTGTGTCTTTGGATACTCCTTATAAGGAAGACTGCTATGGTTTGGTTCTGTGTCCCCACCCAGATCTCACCTTGAATTGTAATAATCCCTGTGTGTCAAGGGTGGGACCAGGTGGAGGTGATTGAATCAAGGGGGTGGTTTCCCACATGCTTCTCATCATAGTGAGTGAGTTCTCACGAGGTCTGATAGTTTTATAACCATCTGGCATTTCCCCTGTTGGCACTCAGCCCCTCTCCTGCTGCCCTGTGAAGAGGTGCCTTCCGCCATGGTTGTAAGTTTCCTGAGGCCTCCCTAGCCATGTGGAACTGCATGTCAATTAAACCTCTTTTCTTTCTAAATTACCCAGGCTTAGGTATTTTTTCATAGAAGCAGCATGAGAACAGACTAATACAAAGACCATCTTCTTTCTAGGTACACAGTCTTTCTTTATTTGCAGTGCTACTTATTTATTAGAAGTTTTCTTTCTCGATATCACAGTGTAGTCGTATTGACCTGTGTTTCTCTCCAGGGCATCTTGATTGGATTTAGGGGATTCCTAAAACTTTTTAATCATACATTATTATAGCATCTCTTAGTTCAAATGGCTTATACCCTTCTTATTTTTTATTAAAATAATTAGGAGATTTTATTGTTTTTAATATATATTTATGATAACTTTGTAACCCCCAATATAATAAATTTTATGTTTTTTAAACTCTTCTTGATTTTTTCTAATTGCGTTCTCAGAGGATAACCTTCGAAAGTACTTAGCTTTTAGCTAATAATAAAAAAAACAACTAATATTTATTGAGTATTTACATGTACCAGATGCTGTCTTTAGTCTTTTACATTTATTAACTTAGTCTCTCCAAAATCTCAGAAAGTAGGTATTCATTTTGACTGAAAGGTTAAATGACTTGCCCAAAAGTAAGTCAGCTTTTATGTAACATCCAAGATTCAGACCTGTGTAGCATGGTTTTGGAGCTCCTAACTACTCTGCTCTACCGCTGGTTAGTGCTATATGGCATCTGGTTTTAGGGTAGAATACAGGGGATTGATTGATTGAGAGGGTGAGGCATCAAAAATGACGGGGTTTCTAGCCTCTAAAAGGATAATATATGGTATCAAACAGAAAAAGGCAGCCTAAGTAGAGGGAAAAGTTTACTGAAGGAACAAGTGATTTGACTTTTAGAAATTTTGAGTTTAAGTACAGCAGTCAATTGGAAAATAGGGTTTTGAGCTCAGTAGATATAGGAATTAAGATGTAGATCTCTGAGACACATATCTGTGAGACTTTAATTATGTAAAGATTGGGTAATTGAAGCATTGAGGGGTGAAAAAAAAACAAGAATTTACCTGAGTTCACAGAAAAGAGGCTGAAGAGAAGAGTCCCAAGATCCCATCTTGAGGAATTTAAGAAACAGATAGAGAAAAGAGGCCTGCCAAGGAGATGAGGATCAGCACCACATCTATGAGGCAGAAGGAAAAGGGAAGTATAAACAAAGTATTTTTCAGGCATTGCATGCCTCAGTGTTTTATTTTTAGCATGTTTCTGAATAGCTAATGGGATAGATTTAAACATTGTGAGGCTTAGTCTTAATAGTTTGAGAATCACCTTTGCAATATGTGATCAGCTAAATGCAAAGGTTTAGATACTGATAAGACAATGTTCAAAACTGACTACAGGCCAGGCATAGTGGTTCACGCCTGTAATTCCAGCACTTTGGGAGGCCGAGGTGGGTAGATCACCTGAGGTCAGGAGTTTGAGACCAGCCTGGCCAACATGGTGAAACCCTGTCTCCACTAAAATGCAAGAATTAGTCGGGTGTGATGGCGCACCCCTGTAATCCCAGCCACTCAGGAGACTGAGATAGGAGAATTGCTTGAACCTGGGAGGCGGAGGCTGCAGTAAGCCAAGATTGTACCACTGCACTCCGGCCGGGGAAACAGAGTGAGACCCATCTCAACAACAACAACAACAAAAAAACCGACTACAATTTAATTTTCTTGCCAGGTGAGACTATCAAAATTGACCAAGATTTACTATTATTTTCAACTGTAAGAGTGAATTGGGTGCAGCACACCAACATGGCACATATATGTAACAAACCTGCATGTTGTGCACATGTACCCTAGAACTTAAAGTATATTAAGTCCACTAAATATTTTTTTAAAAAGTGAATTAAAGAAAAAATAAAAATATTTGCTTTGTAAGAGACTATTCACATACTATTTATTACAGTATATTGTAATTGTAGTTATTGTTAATCTCAATTTATAAATTAAACTTTGTTACAGATATGCATGTATAGTATTTATATATAGCGTTTGGTACTATTCATGGTTTCAGGCATCCACTGGGGGTCTTGGAATGTACTCCCTGCAGATAAGTGGGGAGACTACTGTATCCTAAGCTCTATTTTTATTATCTTACAAGACTGGGGTCAATATGAGGTATTACAGGTGTCATTTTGTCTTCTTCCTAGATCAACTTTTTTAAAAAATAATTCTAATTTTTGTGGGTACATAGAAGGCATATATATTGATGGGTACATGAGATGTTTTGATACAGACATGCAATGTGTAATAAGCACATCATGGAGAATGGGGTATCCATCCCTTCAAGCA